ATCGCCGAAGATTTTCGAAAGACTATGCTTTCATCGTTTGGATCACAAGAAAATTGACTTTGATAGAAGAAATCGTATCGTCCATACATCATGATATGCCRAACAGATCGAGGTGATGTTAGCGATGGTGGAAAGATGTCACTCTCCTTTCCRCTATTAATATCTTTCAGTTTTGGCAACCAAATTGCCAACAACCCTTCGCTTTCTAGATCAATTAATTCTTGTCCATTAGAATATCCTCTCATGAAAGCTATTTTCTCCAAAGCACGATAGCACATGAACTCCAAGCCGGGTCGAGCCACTGGAATCTCCAAAATTTCGTGCAATRCCATCTGAAATGTTTCCGTATTTTTTGTCGAGCCAGCAAGAACAGCTTTTGCAAAAATAGAATCCGACTCCATGACTTCTAAACTATCTCTTGCTTCTAAGCTCGACCTATCTTGCTCTTCTGTACTAGATAACCCATTTGCWACGTACCAGTTAGTGAACTTTTCGATAATGTCTTGCGCACTTGAACCTCTAAATATAGGAGCAATATGATTGTCCACATATTCCAATATTCGCTGTTCATCGAGTTTCCGAAAGGCTTCTCCCGCTGCTATAGATGCAAGCCTTCTAACTAGAAAATTAGCGCTGTCAAAACCGATTTTGACAATTGAATTTGCAAAAAAACTGTCAAAAAGTTGATGRAAGTCGTCGTTTCCATTTTCAAATGCCAGTGTAGCAGCGATGGCTCTTCGCGCTCTCAAATTGGGTCGACCACGCATACCTTCTTCACCCCTAATTAAGTCAATTATCATTTTCGTTTCTTCGTCTGTCAACTGCAATTTCAACTTCGGCATCTCCGATAGAAGTTGTGCACAAGTATTATGCCCATACATGAATAATTCAGAAGAAGGTTCTACACACTTCCTCATTAARGCAATCACTTGGCACATCATCATAACCGGAGAAAGCTCATCAGAGTGATTTGTATTGAGTGCCAACTGTCTGACACAACTATTCAGTAARACTTCCCCCRTACCCAAAAAGGAAATGGAGGTAACTGCCGATCGAAGATCCATGTTCCCATTCTTAATCTCTRGGTCAGCATCAAGAGAAGTCCCAAGTATTGCCTCGCAGACGAGCCTACAGTTTGACGTCGATGGAGCCATAGATARTAAGAGTGATCCGATCACTTTTGACTTATCCAACAAAACTGATCTCGTCGCTCCCGCGCATTTTCCATTTGGAGGTACTCCGAAATGATATATCTTTCGTCGTTTGCGAAGATTCGTGTTGTATTCATTAGGCCGATGCACATCGCACTTCTTGTTCTCAGAAATATTGCYRCCATCATGAGAACCCTCTGGTGAATTGATCATACTCACTTCARAGTGAGTTTCGCCTGAGTCAGAATCCTCAAGGGACGCTTCTCTCGCGTTTCTCGCCGATTCATCGTAGGCAAGGCTAAAATCATCGTTCATCAAAATTTCTGAGTACCGACTTAAGATTGACCGACACTCGTCTACCGGTAATAYCATTTGTTCCGTAAGGTCGATTTCAGATGGATAACGAGCAGAAATCTCTATCAAAGTCCGAGAAATCTGCCTTAAGTCAGTAACAATCCCAAGATATTCGTAAGGTTCAGAATCACATTTGCTTAGCTCTAAGATTGCGTTGACGAAGAAAGAAATAATGCGAGGAATCTTTGMAAGAATATCCCTTTCAAGGTAGGTTTGTGTAATCCAGAGACTCAAAATCAATTTGACCGCTCCAGTCTGTGACAATTTCAATTCGGTGCTCTTTTTCTCAAAGCAGGGAACTAGTTCATTCAAATCTTCGAAGGCGATTTTKCGTAAATCTTCTGAGTCGCTTTCCGAAATAAAGTCAAATGTTTGGTTCCTTGATCGCATTGATTGTTCCTTTAATTGATCACGCAATTTTCTTGCGACTACCCGGGGCAAGTCCAGCGATGCCCCGTAAAAAGCGAAGGATGACAAATTTGGATGTTGCCCGACAACTTCTGCGTTACCCCAAAGAATATCCAAGCATGTCTCAGAATCGCTTTGCTGCTCCATCGATAGCATTATTTTATTCTTTTGCTGAACATGCAAATTCTTGCTATCTGGAGCAGTTAGATAGAAGCGTGAATCAGTTGCCGATAACTGCGATAGGGATGGGTCGTTTCCAGTGACCAGAGAAACGATACACGACGCAGCAGCGCGAAGTATATCCTTTACAGAAAAATGTTGTAAAGTTGATTCTGTTATTTTCGTCAAGATCTCTAAAGTAGAATCAAGTGAYAGACGAAAAAGATCACGCCGAAAGGATCGTCCGGTCCCTTTRACATCTTGCTCGTTCGATATTCCAACGAATTTAGATATGGAAGWTATCAATTCAAAGTGAGCTCTGCACTCAACTCTTTGAAACATTGCCGGTTTTAGCATGAACTCCCAAATCTGTCTCTGATACTTGTAGAGAAAGGACGACCCTCTGTATCCAGTCGAACAAGTATTTTTCTGCAYTGTCTCTGTGCACTTTCGTGAAATTATTTCAGTGAGTAGGATTACAAAAATTTCACCCAAAGAATTCTCCTCTATGGAGTTTACGAATGACGTATATCGAAGATCGGGTCGTAGTAGGGTTTTCCAAATCATCCTCCACTCCATGACCAGCGAATATAGATGGCATGGGGTATTTTGTAAGCTCTGGATCATTATAGCTGTAGTTTCCGTCAATTTAGTCAAGGCCAATAGTATCCAATATTGAGCGTGGGGATCGCTATCKGGTTGGCCATTATCTTCGAGTACTTTCGATAAAATTGATAGAAGGAATGTGAGGTCAGAAATTTTGGATCTATGGTACCATATCACTTCATCTTTCGCCTTTTCTTTGGGGACAAAACAATGCCATTTTACAGTAGCACTTGATGACCAGCATTCCCCAGCTGGGAACAATTCCGTGCAAGCGCCAATAATAGCAAGATATGGTATCGGAGACTGCTGCGTATCGTGATTCTTGACAAGCAATTCCAATAATGAAGATGCAAAAGTCTTGGTATCAGGGACCAGCGAAGTTGGAAAATCTATTGTTTCAATATCTCTACAATCACTTGATGACATGTTGAACTTTGGCGATACTAAATTCCGTAGTACTGTATTCATCCATGGACTTTTCGCACTATTTTCAAGAGGAATTTCTAAAGTCTCGAATGATCCAACGTCTGTCCAGGCTTTATTCTCGTCTCGACTATGTGCSTTCAGTTGAGCCTCTAGCATGTCATTTGGATTTCTCAGAGCATCCCATCCTTCACGTGCAATGTAAAGTCGTTGTGCGCATGCTAACAATCTTGCCATCAGTTCCAACTGCAGCTGTTGGCGATCGTCCACAGGATACCAAATCCTTCGGTTAGAAAGTTTTTGTCGTTTGATACGACTCATCGTAGAWATATTTGTATCCTTATCAAAAACTTTGATTATATCTTCAATGCATAGATCGATCAGAAASAAGAGTTGCCGTTCTGTTAAAGCTGCAGATCCAAGATCTCCAAGATCTCCATCTATTAGCCCTTGGATTTTACCAGCTGTCTGAGCAACAAACCTATGGAACGAAAAAAATGATATCTTTTGTGAGAATTCATTCGCATCCAATTTTTACGAATCGTGCTTTGAAGGACAGCGAATCCACAAAAAGCATTGGAATGTGAGATATAGAATAGAGATAGAGTCTTACARATGCGAAAGTAGATATCGATTCAAGGCTTCTTTGTGCAAGCCATTGGCTTTTCGATACGCCTTTTGGCAAGAACGTAATATGTGCCGTCCGCATCGTTTCAGAGGACCGATTGAGTCTGCGGGATGGGACAGCAACATGCTTGCTAGAGCGTTAAATATATGTTGGTGACTCGTGGATGAAGAGTTCAGAGTTCTATTCTCTGTATTCATCTTGCACCAGTCGGCGACAATTTCTAGAGTTTCTGAGAGGAGCGAGGCGTGAATTTCAAATCCCAGTCGACTACAGGTCCCAAAGAAGTTGCAAAACGCCTTGCAGGCAGATTCGGAAATCACGCGACCGAAAGAATCGTTTTTTTGTTGATCCATATGTTTCTTCATATGATGGAGAATCTCCGAAAGAGCGTTCTGAAAGTCAATGGCATATTTGAAGCATCCAATGTATTCATCCTTAGAGCAAATGAAGGCTAGCATGTCTATCATCTTTGCTTCTCCTCCCTCCGGAATATTGCCCTCGTTTTCTAGAACTCCTATGCAATATTTCAAGGCATTTCTAATCGATTTTTTCGATAACTTCAARATGCTAAGGCCATTAGAATCAAATGCATCATCACGTTGCGATGCTGCTCGCAAGATCTTGTCAGGCAATCGAATATCATCGATCGTACATTTTGCTCTTGATTGGTTCAAGATATCTTTGGTTAGAATGATGCATCTGCTCAGAGCATTCGACCACAATGCACTTAGCGCATGACATCTTCTTGCGGAAAGAGAAATACCATCACTACTCCTTCCCGGAGAAACCTCTTTAGCGAGTCGTTCTCGGATATCATAGTTTGATAGTCTCTGCTCCAATTTTAGCGCTGCTTCTCGTCGCTTCGGGATGCTCGTATTGCTGTTTGTCAACTGTGCAGTCAGGGAAAAAATCGCATCATATTCAGGTGATGGGTGGGCCATGCTATTGGTCGTCAGTCATGACCCGGAGCGATGCAGCAGATCGTAAAATGCAGGAGATCTTGTTGTATCAGTTGACACAAGTCAATCTGTTGATGGTTGCGATCCAGTTTCTTTTTATTTCGATCGATCGTGTCACGTCAACGCTTGGCTTTCACTTTTGAGATATATTATATTTATTGATTCATTCGATTAGCTTATTCGATCGAGTCATTCGAGTCATATTATTTTGAAGAGGGCCCGGCTACGCGCAATAAAACCTCAAATTCAAACTTTGTTCCATTCAATACTCTCAAAAAAAGTTATAGGGCTGAAACCGTTGACAACAGATGGCTAAAGTCTCAATAGTCTTTCCGTATCATTGTTTCTTGTTGGTCAATCGCTCAGAAAATCAGAAAAGCACTGTCCTCATAATTCGACGACACCCCATTGCAGTATTCACCGACAAAGGAATTCAGCGACACTATGTAAGTTTCGACGATGTTGTTAATTTGGTGTTATGACGTTGCGTTTGAATGATCTTTTCGTCTACTTTCTTTTTCGTTCCTTCTGCTTTTTCTTCGATATCTGATTCCTTCACTGCCCCATGATTTCGACAGGTTTTCAAAGCTTTTTGGAGGCTGCCTCCCACGACGAAATGGGAGGGGAGGCACGGATATGGTGATAAATACCAGTCATGTGGATCCGAAGTTCAACTACAAAGATGACGTGAAGGCGAAGAAGGATTTCGACGAAGCACCAGTAACTGTCGAAAAGGACAAAGAAGAAGCAGAAAACAMCGAGAGCTCTTTTCTTTCGTCTTCTAATGAAAGTAAGAATGATGCAAGATTGGAGCCTGAACAAGTTGGAGGGCCCGAGGTGAAAGAACCCACGTCGTCGTCGGAAGAGACATCGAAGACTGAWGAAGCATCTTCCCCCACAAATGAGGAATTTGGGAGGARCAATGAATATGAAGCAGATGTTACGGATGTACAAGATGATGAATACCCGTGGCAGGTCGCTTGTTGCGGAATTGATGTCCCTATGGGAAAGTAACTGGTCTGAAGTAATTTGTACCCACGATTGTTGCACACCAAKGCTCGAAAACCCACCCATGAGCATTTTCCAGGTCTAAAATAATTTCATCCTGTTATTCCTACATTGCGCTGWTGTTCGATTTATCATTCGTGATGATTTTTCTCTATTCATGAAACTCTATAAAATAGAACAGATCAAGGTAAATTACGAAACAAGATTCACTCGATAAATTACTACAGTATATCGTACATACTAGAATGCAGAGCTTGGTGAGGCAACTAAAGGTGAAAGAAGCAATATCTTTACAATGCAATCTCAAGCTTGTACTATACTATCTACGGTGTGACATTTATTCAAGTGGTTTCCAACCTTCGTGAATTGCGACGATTCCGCCAGTCATATTTGTGTACTTAGTCAAATGAAATCCAGCATCGTCCATCCTTGTCACAAGTTCTTCTTGATTCGAAAACTTACGGATACTTTCCACGAGATATTGGTAAGAAGCGCGATCGTTGGCAACCAACTCACCCATTCCGGGAATGACAGCAAACGAATAGGTATCATATAGCTGTCGCAGAAATGGATCGGCCACTTGAGAAAACTCCAAACACATAAATCGCCCCCCTGGCTTCAAAACACGGTATGCCTCTTCTAATCCCTTATCCTGAGATATAATTATCAGTGCAAAGACGAGCAAACGGTACCGGAAAATTTGGAAAATAATTTTCAAGTAAGACATATGTTTYGTGGCATCGAACGAGTATGGAAGCACAGTTGCTCAACAGCACAGTAGGGTTGTGTATGCACGTCCTACAAGCTTTTTTCGAMTGTGCCTTTTKCATTTCATTCGATTCTAGAYGCTTTTCCTCTTTTTACAAGATTTCATAAACTTACCACATCTGTTACATTCCGCAAGCCAAAGGCAATTGTGTACAGATCGAACGAATTATCCTCGAAGTTGTGCAAGYMTTGCGCATTCCCCTCCACAAATGACAAGGCCTTCGACTCCGAGATCAGAGAGGAACCGTATTTCTTCCTTGCACGGGATTCTCCTACTCGCAACATTTCACTGTTGATGTCGCAAACAGTCACGCTTATAGGGTCTTCACCAGATGATCGAGCTCGTTCCGGACATCYTGCCGCCTCCAAGAATCGAAAGGATACATCCCCGGTTCCCCCAGCAACGTCAAGAATACGCAAGGTAGATGTTGTCTCATGCTCGTATTTTCGGACGATTTCAGCCATGGAAGATACGGCAGACATTTCGAGGAGTTGGTCTTTCCAATAACGATGCAATCCTCCACTCATGAAATCGTTCATGACATCGTAGGAGTCGGCGACGCTTTCAAAGACTTCCTTCACACGGCCTTCCTTTTCATGAATTCCTACGGATTCAAATCCAAAATGTGTCTCTGATCCCTGGATGTATGGACTATTTTTRGAGCTGTCGCTTATGCTTTCGTTATTGATACTGGCTCCGCTTGCTTCAACACGATTAGAGTTGGTAGACAAATATCGGAGGGAAGTTGTGTTTCGGAGGCGCCGTATGATTCTTTTCGTGCCGCTCGTGCAGCAAGATGTAATGGTGTTCATCATTTCAAAAGTGTTGAAAGTAAAGAGAATTTTTCCAACTAAAATTCAGTTGCAGATTAAAAGATGCTCGAAGTCGAAATCACAGTSAACACTCCCCAATGCTTCGCTTTTTAAATGCTGTTCCGCACATTCGGTTGATGAATTTAGAAAGAGATGGTTTGCAGTTTCTGTTTCACTGATCATTGTGAGGTTGTTCCCAGTCAGAACAATTCCAGTCACGATTGACCCATCCGATTACTTTTTAGTTGCGTGATTGAAGATGAAAAGTAACGGTAGTAGGCTCATACGAGGGTACGTACGTACGCACGTACGTACGTAGAGGTTAGGTTCCAACGTTGAAGGCTTTCCGATATGGTACCTGTAGGGCAGATGTCGTACCGTACGTCTGTGTGGTTTCTGAAAATTCTGTACAATTCTTTACAAAGTACGGTACGTACCGTACCGTACGGACCCGGGTACGTACCATCCGTATCCGTAACAGGAAAGTACGTACCGTATGGAATCCGGTACCGTGCAGGATGCACGAGTACGAGTACGTACGTATCCTACTACTGTAGGTGCTTAGGGTGTTTGTTCTCTGATCCCTGTCTGTGTAAGCAGAYAGTTCCACAACGACCGCTTCAGTCAAGTCGATGTACCTGTACGGTAACTTATCGACAGTTGGAAAAGTCTACCCATAGTGCAAATCAATCTCAGGCTGTTTGAACCATGAACGTTATTGCTTACGCTTTCCTACTCAGTCTGTTATTTTCAACYGTTGACGGATTTTCCTTCGTCTTGATGGGGCGGAGAGGAAAGGGAGATCTGAAACGAGCTTTGAGTGGYAATGATGGACAATCCAAGAGACGAGGAAAGAATCAAGACCCAACTGCAGCAATGAATGATGGTAAAGGGCAAGAAATAACCGGTGTTTCTCTACCGGAGGAAGGGACTATCAAGGGATGGGAATTTGGCGACAAAAAGGTCGTGGCGTGTGCGAATGTTCGTGGCGAGTTCTACGCCCTACAGGGAGATTGTCCTCGATGTTCCTTCGATCTGTACAGAGGAGATTTGATCGTGGACGACCCCGGATTTGAGGACCTGCCTCGTGTAGCATGCCCAACATGTTCTACGACCTTCTCGCTGAAAACAGGGCTCTATGGACCCCCGCTAAAACGAACAGGTCTAGCTGGCTTTGTCAGTGGTCTCGCCAAAACCGCAACCGCAAATCAAGAGAGAAATGCAGACGCATATACGATTACTGTGGATCCTGAGACCGGGCGTGTTTACAGCAAAAAGAAAGTGTTGCGCAAGGTATATTAAGTAGAGCTGATGTGGTGAATTTTGTTTGATGACACAATTATAGCATCGTAGGTTCAACTTCAAGAATTTAAGACACAATAAACTACATATATTAAGCCAAATRCTCCGGCAGTACTCCAACAMGGCATAATGCATGAACTTGTAAGTCACGTGGCTTSCCGCATCTGGGTCAAATGAGTGCCGTACTAGGATTGGCGTGGTGTTACAGAAAGTCTTTTCAGTCGATCTCTCGCAACCTGCCACAAGTGACCACGATACGAATAGTGTCTATTTCTTCTCGTCAATGAATGCCACCAGCGCCAGCTCCAAAATCGCACGCCTTCCAATCCTCCCGATATGTCTAACTTTCCGTTACCGTAATCCTTTAGAGATTTGTCGGCTTCCCATACGTCTAACCAGTCCATCGCATAGTTGTTGAATTGTGACGATCCATCTCTATTCTTGTCGTAAACTTGGTTCGCCACCAAAGACATGAATATGTCTTCCCCGTTCCAAAGTGGACCATCTCCGTTCTGAAGAACGGTATCGGCCCACACCAAGTGCGCATAGTCGAAAAAGGCGCTGCATGTATCTCGCTCCATCAACATCAATTTTGTAAGAATGACTTCAGAGTTCTTGTGGGTATCCACAGAATTGTACCCATTGAATGAATTTCCCTCTTTGAAATTGCGACCAAACCTCCCTACAATGCGCTTGGGATTGCGGCCATACTCGGCAATTAAGTCATTCATAGCTTCCGTAGTGAATTCCATGTCATCGTCCAAGTGTAAAACCCAATTGTTCTGGGCAATTTGACAAAAATAAAAACGCAGACTCAAACCCATTTCATTGTTGTGTTTTATCGAATCAATGTTCTTCACTTTAGGGTGGACGAATTCAAAAGCGGTTTTAGGATTGCCGTGGAGAAGCAAGACCTCGTCGACATTGGGATGAGCGAGAAGAGTCTGGTACGTCGTCATTGAAGTGAGAGGGCAAGAGAAGGAACAAAAGAGTTGAATTGTAAGAACCTTAAACATTCCATTCGAAAGCTCAATTATGGAACTAGTCTATGACAAAAACTTCTCGGAGTATACTCACTCGCATCATCGAACTTTCCCTTATCATCCGTGGTCGCGAAAAGTTCATTAGTATGACGGACACTTTTTCCTTTGGGAGAGGTAGAGGGATGGAATAAGTGATCGGTGGTGTACGTATSAGTGACGTCGGCTTTTGTAGGATTGTATGGCCCGTTGGCGAATCGGACTGCGTTATTGGTGTTACCAAWGGATCCTGTGTCATTGCGGAACGGCCCGCATCGAAAAGGACTCCTATTATTGTCGACCAGCAGCCGTAGGCTACAAACAAGGATACTATAAGAAGAAAGATCACATTTCTCCTCCTATTCCACCTCTTGGAGATRAAATRAGGAAATATAGCACCGTTGGTTTTATTCATTGAGTTATTCAACAGAGCATCGGAGGTCGGCAGTATATTTTGAAACATCGTAGTGCCTGCGAAACCCTCGACTAATTTTTGMAGCGAAAGCTTGTAGTTTTAGTCTTTATCCAATACTGTAGCACGCCGTCTCAAGGCATATTCCTACCAAGTGTATTGATCCATCTGGTTCGTCCTAGAGAGAGCATACGGAGGCACTGTAGTATCACACCGTTTTGATTATGTTGTACAGTCTCTGGCTACAATAAGCTGCTGATGAGAAGAAAACGAAAAATGATTTTTACGTCGTTAAAGTTCTTGTGTCTAAAGAAATACAATACTGTAACTGGTACTGTAATTAAGACGTGTTGAGAGAGTATTAACACGCAAGGTTTTCTACCGGTTCGTACCTGCATGGTCCAAGGGGTGGCTCGAGCACTAAACTAACGGACGGTAATAAGAACTGTAATTTGAAGTAGTACAATTACTGTTTTATTTAGGCTCACAGTAGGTACTTGGTACCGTATTGTTGTCCTTTGATAAATCGTTTTTAATTTTCAAAAAATGAGGGAAAAATAACGATTTTCTACACGACTTGACTGGATCGTATTGCCGGACTAGTTCGACTCWATCTAGTRTTAGATTGAGTTGCAACCAATCATCATCACGGTCAATTTTGTACCTTTCCTGAAAAATCTGCATCTCGAATAGTTATTTCCATTTCATGTTCGTTTTTTCTGATCAACCATACTCGTACCGGTACCAGTGTGCTGGTTGAGGTATTAGAACCGTCATCATCACCACAGTTGACTATTACAACTTTTGAAGCACTGTCAAGAAAATTCGGGAAAGCYATCCAGAAACATTTTTTCTGAATTACAAAGCAGAATGGCATCAATTTATTCTTCGGGTCTTGTCATCGCAGCGGGGACTTACGATGGTGTTTTAGCTGGCTGGGAATTTGGCGAGAAGAGCAAAGACRGCACGGCTACGACAGAAGGTAGTTCACTTACTCTCAGCTTTGCCACGGCTGTTCATGATGGATCGATTAGAAGTTTGTGCATAGCGGGAAACGCAAACAAGAACCAACCAGGTGCACTGCTGTCCTGCGGCTACGACGAAAGTCTGAAAACACATGACTGGAGCAAGCGGCAGACATCATCCGGAGAAGTTCGAACGCCAAATGGATTTGGGACGCCAATGTGCAGCATGTTTGCCCCTCCGACAGGTCATTCAACGCACTGCATCGTTGGATTTTCCAGTGAGGGCAAAATCTGTATCTACAAAAAGCGTGACTGGTCAATTCAGCACGTCTTGAACGGCCACGAAGGGGGGATAGGTAGCTTGGCAGTCCATCCCACGGGGAAGTTGGCTGTGAGCGGTGGTGTAACTGATGGCAAATTGAAATTATGGGACTTGACGAAGGGTCGGCTTGCAATGGTAAATAAAATCAATCCCAGGTCCACATTGGGAGGTCGTGCTCGATATGATCCAATCACGAGTGTAATTTGGTCGAAAGAGGGTGATTTTTATGCCCTTTCACATGGTTCTCACATTACTGTTCGGGAAGTGGCTACTGGAAAAGCATTGTTRGACGTGGAAATGCCAAGTAAAGTGAATCAAGTTGCGCTCATGTCTGGACCCGAAGGTCTTTTCGTAGTAGCAGCATGCAACGATGGGTCTTTGCCTGTTCTTGCGGTGGAAGATAGTGACGACGAAAACCGTAAAGCAATCATGGCCATCGAACCGGTAGACTCTCATTTGGCACGAGARGAAAGATTCAAATGTATACAGAGTGTCCGTGGCTACTTTATTGTAACTTCAAAYAGTGCGGGTGTTGTAAGCCTGATGAATTTGCAAGGTGCTGTCAACATGATGATGTCACCGCAACAAGAGGGCGAAAACTCCCGTTCAGACAGCGACGGAAGTGAAGACGAAGAAAGCGATGACGATAGTGATATGGAATTGGCGGTGGACATAGTCGAAAGTGTTCGGTTAGGGACTGGTGCCCGTATTACATGCCTAGCCGCTTGGTGCAAAACAGAAGAGAGTCAGATTGAGGAGGTTGAACAAAAACACGTATCAGAAGTGAAGAAAGAAAAGAAAAAGAATGAATCAATCGAGAAGCCACTCAAGCGCAAAATGGAAAGTAGRGTCGATGACTCTATGGATAGCGATGCAGTAAAGAAGGCCAGGTCACTTGTCAAAAAGGCGAAGAAATTAAAAAGCAAGAAAGAAAAAAAGAAAGCTAAAAAATAAAGCGCTCTTGTCTTTTTTCGACAAATAAGTTAAACTTCGAATGATTTTTGCTTCAAATGATTTCAACAACCATAACTTTCCTATATGCACCGTAAAAGTGGAGATGAGCAAGACTTTTTGCTATCGATTTGCTCTTGCATGGATCTTTCTAAAGAAAGAAACTTCAAACTTTGCAGCGCKTACTAGAAAAAATAATGAAATAAAATCTGCACAAAGCGACGGACAGTCCATGATCACCAACTCAGTTTTTTGAAGTCTATTCCAGATAGTGCAAAGTGATCTATCTGTTGTAAATGTGTACCCGAGCTTTTCGAATTAGTCGGTTGAACTTCTGAACATTTCGCTTCGATCAATGAATCCATTAAGGAAGGAGGTAAACGAGGATGACATCTGATACGATCGAGGCAACTAAATGCCTTGTTKCAGTCAGAGCTTTGTCTCTATCSAAGGGGAGATTTTTGTACTTTGCAGCCACAAATATATGGTGGTWAGATAAAAAATTGAATATGAACAATCGAGAGGAAGACTCATCGGTGGTTCTTATCATTTGTGCTCAGTCTTCGAATTTGTTTCTGAATATACTCGCTGGGCTGAAAATTATGGATTTTCATCGTTTTGACGACCTCTTTCACTTTTTTATMATTGTTTGCTTCGGCGCTCGAAGCTATTGCCTTGAGCCATGCCCCATAGCTAAACGAGTCAGGCAGTAGACTAGGATTTCCCGTGAGAATCATTTCGAGAATCAAGCCATCAATTCTAGTCAAAGCTGCAGCATCGCCACTATTTGCCCACGCATTGAGTACGGAGTTGTAGGAATAGATATCTGGAGTCGCCTCGTTGTCTCCGAGGCTTCCGAGTGTTTCCATCTCACGCAAAATGATTTCCGCCCGTTCTCCAGACTCGATTTTCATCGATTTGGCCCAGCAGTTGAGCAATCTGTTGTAGGTCTCCGTCGTCGGTCTCAAGTCAAACTTGTGGTCATCTGAAAGCTTCGCCATTTTCAAAAGAAGTTCTTCGGCCTTTTTCGGCTTCTTATGCTCCCCCCAACATGATAGGACATAATGGAACAGACTACGGTTCGGTGCAGGTAAATCGCTTTTGCGGACATTTAGTTCTTCCATTTTGGCCGGTTTCATTGATTCCTCTGCCATGTTTAAGATAAATGACTCCGCCTTGTATGGAGCCCTTTGATTGATCCAGAAATTGATCATGGCAAGATATGTTATGTGGTTCATACTTACGTTTTGGTCATTACAGAGATTCTGAAATATGGATTCGACTTCTCTGTGAATTGCGTTGCTGTTTCCGCTTGCCTTACTATTGCGCAACCGTACAAAGCAATTTAACAGTGTGTTATAGCTTACAATATCAGGTTGCGTCCCGCTTTCCTTCATTCGCAACCAAAATTGTTTGGCTCTGTGAACGTCACCTTTTGCCATGCAGCTCGACAGCAATGTGTTCCAAGTTCTGGTAGAGGGAACCACAGCTCTTTGAACTTTTGTATGCCCTGACTCTATAGCCGAAGGAGTCTGAAACGACGTCATACGATCTAACACTTTTTCGGCCTCATCGATTTTGCCTGCCTTAGCACAAACGTTTAAAACTTAGTATTTCGATACAGTGATTGTCAGAAGTYGTTTTCAAAGTATGGCGGTTTAGGTTACTCGGAATAATGCGAAAGATGGCATGGAACTTACCTGTATTCCAAGTTTGTGTTGTCGGTTTTACACCACGATCTCCACCCTCGAACAAGTCTATCATGTGGTTCAAGATAGCTTCGGCCCGATTCCATGGGGAATCTTGTCCATTGTTGCTTGCCGTGCTTGAACTTTTCTTACTAGCCTTCTTGTTGCGTTGCAGTGAATTTTTTTTTYCYTCCGCATCTCTTATTTTCTTCGCTTTATTTGCGTACGAATCCAAAACTGTGTTATACGAGACTGYAGTYGGACGCGTATCGAAATCTTCCTCTACATGCAGTCTATGCATTTCCATAAGAATTGCCTCGGCTCGTTCGGCCTCCCCAGCCTTTGCCCATGCCGATAGGACAATGTTGAACGATCGGCTATCAGGCTCAACAATTGGTACTGATTCACCAGAGAGATGTTTGCTTTTGGACAATMTTGTTGCGCCTGGTTCTGTTTCGTTTGCAATTTCATCGTCCATTGCTATCATTGATCTCAAAAATCTCTCGGCCTTGTGCGGTTGACCCGATTTAGCCCATGCTTGAATTACAGAGTTGTAAATTCCCACATCCGGTTTCCACTCAGGATCGAGATGAACTAAACTATCATCGGATGCGGTCGCTGCACTATTGTGATAAAGGTCTAGAAGTTTTTCCAGCCATTCTTCAGCCTTTCCACCATCCCCCAATCGAGCATAACACTGCACCACATTGGTGAAAGATATAATATTTGGTTTCGCSGATTCCATACCGTGACTATGAAGTTCAAGCATTTGGTGCAAAAGAGAATCTGCTTTCTGCGTGGCTTCKGGAGTCCCCATCTTGGAATATGCCGACAAGAGCGTACTGTATGACACTGGATCGGGGCTCACTCCCGGGATTTCTAAATGAATCATTCGTTGCAAGGTGTCTTCTATCTTTTCGATTTTCCCTTCCTTAGCCCACGCATGTAGAAGTATATTGTAAACCACAACATTCGGTTCTAAGTTGGGCAAGCCTTCCTCATGGAGTGCCTCCATGCGCTGAAGCAATTCTTCCACTTTTTTWGAAGAAGAAAAATCGTTTTTCTGCTTTCGCACGGTGGTTTGAATTTTTGTATTATTTTGAGTATTGCTGCTACTATGCGCCCATGCATTCATCACAGTGGCGAAGGATGCTGCGTTGGGAGGAATAGAAAAATCGCTCTTKGCGTYTTGTACCAGCCGATCGAGCAAGGCATCGACAAAGCGTAATTTATTCATATTTATTTCATGTTGGCTTGGTGACGACGATGATTGCCCGTGATCTACACTCSCGGCAACCGCTTGCATRATGCACGTGTACGAACCTATATCGGGACGCACTAACTGTAGCAGATGCTCGTGGTCGTTGTATCCAGGATTCGTGGTGGCAGCACGTGAAAGTGCACCACTGTTGTTGTCTAGCAATCCTTTCCATTCGTCGACCTTATCGAGTACTTGGCGTGGATGAAGGGTGGTTCTAGGCGATCGAAGGTATTCAYTCTTCCACCTAGCGAGAATAGTATTCAGKGGCTCGACTGACTGTTTTTCGACCTTTTGGCAGAGCCGCCGCTCCTCTAGATTSTTGTCATGGGAAGAGGAACCTTCATCCACGCTGCCATCATTGTCGACGCCGCGGCTGYCTAACGTACTTCTGGTCAGCTGATCAAGAAGCTGGAATGACTCTTTTACACTTCCTCTATGGACGGATGAGCAATGCACGAGTCGATGGTARACACTCATCTATTGAACCTTTCGTTTGGTCTCCGAATACTCGTCGACATCCAAATCATGGTGTGTTGCTCATGCGAAGTTCGATACTATTGTGATCGTAATCGATCAAAATCATTCTGTAGTCTGGAATAGACYGGATCACTCCCATCTACCGGTTCAGAAACCAGAAACGGTTCGAACTGTACCGGTACACTCGTACTCGTTGGTGAAGCGTGCTCGACTACGAGTATTAGTACAAGTATTTGAGGTGCCATTAAATATGAAAGGAAGAACACTCGTGACATGTGACATGCTACCGTACATGCTACAGAATCATGAATTTTAAAAAACGTAAGTAGTACACGTATATAATAAATGTAAGATAATAAGTGGATGGACTGACAATCAGTTTGCATTTCGCATTTCCCATGCACGGTGGACTGTACTACTCGAACTGCAGGATGTACGATTAGAAATTTCCACCTGGAACCCTGCTTCGTCTTTCTACTACGATACGGTAGTAATGCTTCGGAGCTCAAATAATTTTTGATCGACGTGCCAAAACGAAATTCGAGGACGAACAACGTTGAAGGTTCCTCCTGCCTGTGTCGTCGAATTACAGGAAAAGTTTCCATCATCGATCAAACGACGATCATTGACTATTAGAATCTTGACATMAAAGTTATTACACAACGCTGAATTTCCTGGGCACATCACTGTCGCRAAATATTTTTACACAGCTCAATTTCGACACTGCGCACGATAATCCACAAAATGATGAATGGGTTGTCTCTGATTATTTTGGGACTCCTCTTGCCCTTGTCGAACGGATTTCAAAACGCTCAAGTCCAACGCAAGGCCTTTCTCTCCCTCCAAAACCCGCCGTCATGTGCCTCCTCAGTCTTACCGTYCTCTCCCTCTGCATTATTCCAAAGTCGACAGCAGAGTTCTGATRGTGTGAGGACTTCTTTATTCCAGAGACCTCGTTTCGACACAATAGCAACATCTGGGTTGAAGAATGTTCATACTGCGGGCTCGGGGGGGATTCCCATGTTTGGTCTCAAGAGCTTTTTAGCAGATATTGTAAGGCTAATGAARTGGATATTTTCCATTCGGCTGAAAGATATTCAAAATTTCAGCAAGGATGACATCAAACCAAAAGAACGGCTTGCGAAACTACACGGTCCGAAAACATATATCCTTTTGTCCGTGGTGCTTGCCAAAAAGTTTGCACCAAGAGCGTTCCGAAACCGATTGTTCTTGATCTGGCTCGCGTTTTGTTTCAAGTGGTACCGGGCACGATACGTTTTCAAGGTTCCTGTCTGGGATCGTCAACCCAACTGGAACAATATCATCACTTCCAAAGACCAAGAAAAAGATCTCAAGGCGTACACGTGCAAGAAGTGTGGATCCACCATTTTCATTGCCAAGAGTCGAGAATTTTTCTTCGAAGGTGATACAGGAATTGGTGGTCTTGGTTGCTTCTCGTGTGGTGCCAAGGGMAAAGACAACTTTGTGATGGATAGAGACCGAATTGTGGAWGACGTTGAAGACATCGATGATTATTTTGACTACGAACGACCATTGGACTTTGTTTCGGCAGCGGAGCGACGAGAGATTCTCAAGAATGCCGAAGGCAATGAAGACGTCGCCAATGCCATGTTGCTCGAAAAGGAAACCGGGAAAGCATCGGAGCAATCGGAATCCGCAGAGGATGGCGTTGTGAATGGTGCTACTGGTAGCATGGAGTGCGATGACGAAGAGACGGAAGTCACAGCCGGTGAGAATGATGAAATGGAAGAAGACGAGACGCCAGTTACCGAACCAACATCAAAYGCGGAAAAGAAAGTGACGAAACCAACTCCGTCTTCGTCCGATGACSATCTTGAMGACGAAGACATGGATCTTTTGGACATGGACTAAAGTATGTATTTCGTCGATTTTCGATTGTATTTGGTCCACTCCTCTAGATATTGATTGATTCTTTCTAGGAATTCTAATTTTGAATTACCCAATATTGGCATCTTTCTTTGGGTTATTGTTTGGGTCCCAGTCGATACTGTATCGTTGATGACGTAAGATATATTCAGTAGGCGCATAGATAAATTTTCTTTTCTAGGGCCATCACTAGTCACTTCCTTCTGCTTTMCTACACTCCAGACAGGTCGCTTGTAAGTATTTAGCTTGTTCCAGGCTTGTTTCTAGWAATAAGTGGGGACGGCACTATTTCCACCAGGTGTGTGGTCCGATCAGTACATCCTAGAGAATTGGTTTACGGCTGGCCCGTACAACCACCATTACTACTAGTAGTACCAGCAGATGAACTCCTGTTCATGTTTTACTTCATTGAGAACCAAMTGAAAGGTCTTCTTCAACTACTGCTTGTGGTAAAMWWGRWACT